GCACTCACAGGTCAACCAGTACCTAGAGGGACAAATGGGAAGTCTGCTAAGATGATTGTCAAAGAAGCTAGCAATAAAGATATGATGGCGCAAAGCAACATGTTTGCATCGCCTGGAGAAATTTACACCCAGAACAGTGGAGAGCCAGGTATCGTCCAGTTGGGAATAGATGCTCGAGTTAAATCAGTATACACCAACCAGATTAGAGACTCAAGAGATGATCTTTTAGATAAAATGGCTACTCGAATTGATACACTGTTGGGTAATAATGTGCCGGCACAGGTGTAGTGTTCGCAGGTCCAGTCTACAGGACTGAAAATATACATAGGACTGAACTGGACTGAACCACGGTCTGGTCTTTTCCAGTTGCCAGTTGCCCACATTTGTGGTCAGTCCAGTTGCCAGTTGCCATGTTTTTGTAAATATATAAAAACCGAAAAAGACCGGTTTAGACCGATTGCAACCGGTCTTTCGTCTCATCACATATTGTACCTTACTCATGCACATTTTACTTAATTTTCGGTCCCTGAATCATCAAAAACGGTCAAGAATTGGTTGAGATATGGCCAAAAACATTTTTATACGCAATTTGAATGTATGTTCTCTCCGTTTTCACCATATCTCAGTCAAATCTTGACCGAATCGCTTCAAATCTTGGCCAGCTTACGGAAAATTAAATTATCTATCTACGCATGCTATATACGTGAGATAACATTTAATATATCTGGCACAATAAATTTTTTAACAAAAGACCGGTCGCAACCGGTCTGGACCAGTTTTTTTTGTGTTGTGGACCGATTAGGACCGGTCCAAAGCGGTCCGGTTGCGGTCCCTCAATATTTGGATCGGTCTAGACCGGTTGCAGTTGCCAGTTGCGTCGTTTTGAGGTAAAAAACTGGACTTAACTGGACCTGCGAACACTAGTCCCTAACAGCGCCATGAAAGCCTCAGAAAGTGCCATGCCAGCCGAGAATGCCCCTATATGCCACATAAAACTGTTACAGGTGGAGCGAGAAGATCTTAGTGGGGGGAGTGACAAACCCCCCTCGAGGGGAGTACCTACCTTCCCAGTTGATCAACATAAGACCACCCCAGCTGACACGCCATGCCTTGTGTTACCAGTTGCCAATGCATCAGATGTCCAGCCAGAAGACACGATCTTCACACGCCAGACTGAGCCCTTCCTACAAGCCTGTGTAGAGAAGATATTGGAGCTTGTGCAGATAGGTGACGACATCACAGCAGACCAACGCAAGGAAGTCAAGTCACTCATCGCTGAATTCGCTGACTGCTTCGCCTTATCACTCAGCGAGGTCAATCTCATTCCAGGCACAGTGCACAAGCTCGACATACCCGAGAACACATCATTCCGCACAAAGATTCCACAACGCTCGTTCAACCCAGACCAACGGGCCTTTATGGAGGCAAAGGTTGACGAAATGCTGAAGGGTGGTATAATACGTCCTATACACCCAAGGGAGGTCAAATGTGTCGCGCCCTCAGTGTTGGCCCAGAAGGCGCATGAGAACACAGGCCTGTCCTCAGACGAACTCAAGCACAAGGTTAACGATGAATGCGTGAAGCACGGTCTGCCAACTGTGTTCGACCTACCACCTCGCCCACCTCCTGCTGAAAATGACCCACAACCAC